AGCCCCATTTCAAAACACTGAGCCTCCAGGAAAGGATGAATCATGAAACCCTCTCTACTTAAAATCTTTCTAAGATAAGACATCCAGGAGAGGACATTATCCTGTCAGAATCACTGTCTCTAAGGTCAAAAGCAACCAAGGCTTTGAAATTTGCCCTGTGCTTTCTGCCTAAGGCTCAGTAGAGGCTTCTTCCAAGATGTTTCTGCAGGCTAGCTCCATAAAAGAATAGAGCAAAGGAGAGGTTTTAAATTGTCACAAAAGCTTATCTTCTCACCTGCATCATCTATCTGAGTGATTCATCAAGCCTACGGTGCTGACCAAGCCATAAATATGTGCTGAATAAATAAACTGATCACACAGTCTGAGCTTTAAATGTAATTAATGAGTAATCATTATATCTGCTTCTAACTGAGAGAGTCCTGGGAACTGATTTTCAGTGCAGTAATTCTTTACCTAATCAGGACCTTTATAAAAGACCAAAGACAATGTGGTATTCTGAGTAAATGATCTCCCTTACTAAGGAAGTAAGACTAACGGTTATCATTCATGATAGGTTCCCCATGCATTCTACCAAGATCACATCTGTGAACATATGAATGAAACTTTCAGTGAAAGAGAGTCTTAACAATATAGTTGTAAGGTCCCGTCAACACTCCATTATTAAGATTCACGTAGGTAGGAATATTGCATTCCTGACAGCCATACGACACTATATACTGATCCATGTTCTCAGTGCTGTAATGATGCCTTAACTGCTGCAGACAGAGGAGCTTATCTTGCTGGGGACCCTGCTGTCCTCCCAGTTTTGTTTAAATTCTCAAGGCTCACAATGGCTTCTATTATGCAGAAATGTTCATCTGAGCATGCAAACCTTAGGTAAGCATATTATTCTGGAAATTTTCCCTGTAAGAACATTGGTGTAAAGGCATTACAGTAATTTTCCATCATGGACATCTACTATAATGTGGCTATCAGGGAAGAAATATGTGTTTTTTAATGCTTTTTCCCAGGAGATTTTTCCCAGGAACTTGGAGACCTACGTTGCCCTTTGTGGAGCCACTGAGTTTTCTAACCCTGTGTACAGTATCCTCAGCCAAGTTAATTCCCAATCATTTCAGCATGGCCTGAGAAACAATGCTGTATCCCTGATGCTGTAAAAAAGGATGTTATCATCACTGGCATTTAAAAGAAATGCAAGTCGACCTCCTTCTTTGTCTTGTTTAGAGGCAATTCTTACTAAAAACAGGGAGTTCTTCCCTCACTGCAGCCAGATCATTAGATCATTCATTTCCTGTGAGTGTGACAAAGCCTCTGAACTACATACAGCCTCTCAAGTAGAATCTCCATTGAAGGAAACGATGGAGTCTTGGGTTGTCCTTTTTATGAATAAAACTCCCATTGCTTTGAGAGCTCGCTCCTTCCCCCCACAGCTCCAAAGCTCAATTATCACTACGCACCGTAATTTAAGTAGCATTTGAACAAAATACCCTAGGCTTCTTTCACAAAAGTGGCAGTTGTGAAGTAAATCTTCCAGGTTAACAGCTGTCAGCTGTCAGTGGGCTACACATAATTAAATTTGAAGATGCTTTATGGTCAGAGAAGACAACTAAAAACCCTTGGAGCAGAAAGGCCTTTAGGGTGATGTGGTTACTGCCCTCTCTGGCACTGAGGCTAATTCAGGACTGGGATGGCTTTCTGAAGACACAGGTAGAGGAAAACTGCAAATGGAAGTCAGTGTTTTTATTTCCCAGCTAAGACCACATGCCTGGCTTTATTTTCATGCAGATTGGAGAACAAAATGGTGACAGAATCTAAGGAGGGAGGGAAGAGGGAGGGAAGGAGGGAGAATGGGGAGGGATTTGAGAAACTGTCTACACAAACTACCTTAGGCAGGGTGAGGAGGTGACAGTTAGGGGCTGTAAATACAAAAGACGGGACAATTAGTAAGAAAGCCTCACATCAAGGCTTCTAAAATTTTAGAGATCTTTTGGTTGTGAGGTAGGCCTACGACTGTGCTATTCCATGTTTTCCCTATAATTATTGGTCCAAATTGAATATTACTATTACTAAATTCCAATGAATTTTAACATTTTCATTCATTTTAAATATCTCCATATATTAATGCATTTGGTTTCCATGGGAACATTCATTAGAAGCTGTTCATTAGAAGCTATTGTTGCAATATGTGTTCGTATACATATGTTTATAATTATATTTATAATTTTATATATACATATAAAATCAAAGACATAGAGGCTTTCATTTGGATGTGCATGGGAGAGGTTGGAAGGGGAAATAGAGGAGGTGGAGAGAAGGAAGGAGGAAGTGATGTAATTATATTTAATTAAGATGTAAAAATACAAAAAGAAGGTAGCTGAGCAAGCCAGGGAGCATTAGCCAGGAAGCAGCATTACTTCACGGCCTCTGCCTCAGTTCTTGCCTATATTCTTGCTTTCGCTTCTCTTGATGATGATGTATCATCACATGGAAGCATAAGATGAAACCATTGATTTTCTACACACACACACACACACACACACACACACACACACACACACACACACAAATCATAAAAACTAAACTGCTATTCATACTGAAAAAGAAATGGAGAGACAGGAAGATTAGTTTGTTTATTTTTAAACACAGCCAAATACGCTATTTTGCTATCATTCCATATTATTGGCTAAAACTATTGAACTATATTATGGAGGACATTCTAAAGTGGAGAACTGAACACACTGGCTAAAGCTGTGTGTGCTTCGTGTTCCCATGAAATGTGTCCAGGCAATCACAGATCTGTGTGTGCTTTATGTTTACATGAAGTGTGTCCAGGTGATCACAGATCTGTGTGTGCTTTGCGTTCACATAAAGAAGTGTGTTCAGGTAATCACAGATCTGTGTATGCTTTGTATTCACATGAAGTGTGTCCAGGCGATCACAGATCTGTGTGTGCTTTGTATTCACATGAAGTGTGTCCAGGTGGTCACAAATGGCATTCTTGACTTCCTCTAAGAATCTTTGTCATTTTTTATTTTGCTGTAAGCCAAACCATGGCCATTGACAAGTGTTCTAGAGATATGACTTGGGTTCTTTGCCTACAAATTTAGAATCAATATATCATGAAGTCAGAAACCTTAGAAAGCATGCACTTTCAAAGCTTGTCACTGTTTAAAATCATTGTCACAAGATCAATGGAATTTAGGACCATCTGCATAGAGGTCTTAAGTTTTGCAGAGGAGCTTTTTACCTGCAGAGAAAGGTACATACATTGTGACTATTGACTGTTCTTACTGTCCTGGTGTCTTCTGACTCTCAAAGTTCAGATACTCAACTTAAAAGAGGCTGAATGAATGGGAGTCACTGATCACTGACAGGTCACAACTCTCAGGACATAAATTTCTTATTTCTGCCATATTCATGGGCATCCTGTCATCCAATGGTGCCTTATTTCTGCCATATTCATGGGCATGCTGTCATCCAATGGTGCCTTATTTCTGCCATATTCATGGGCATGCTGTCATCCAATGGTGCTACCTCCTGAAGGACAAATAGTGCAATAACTGTTCTCAGGTGACTTGAAGCAAAGCATATTAAGGTAGTGGAAATTACATAGAGGAAATGTATCAGTTGTTTAGAGTCATTTGGAGATGATCCTAAAATGGTGAATGTACTGACTCTGAGAATAAAACATTGACAAGAAGACAGTCTCCATACCATCGATTTCTCTTCCTACTCACTGTACTGGCTAATGACTTTCATTAATAAATTTAAGATTACTTAAACTGTGAATTATTTTTGAATCATATAGAGTCAGCATGAACTTTAACTTTCTGATTCATTTCAGCAGAAAGCCAATAATTAACTATATATTTTAACAAACACTATTTTAAAATTGATTAATTTTTTAAATCTAATTTTTAAAGAAGTTCATATATGAATATTTCATTTACATCACTTCTTTCCCTACCCCCTCATTCTCTAACTCTTCCAATGCCTTCTACTTCTAAATTCATGGTCTCATCATCCTTAATTAATATTTTAGTATAAACACACACACACACACACACACACACACACATATATATACACAAACACATGCACATACACAGGTATGCATATGCACTCACGCACGCATGTGTGCACATACACATATACATAACCTATAGAGTCCATTTACCGTTGCCTGTATATACATGTCCAGGGATGACTGCTTTGTATTGGACACTCTGTGTGGGAGCTTGTCCCTAGAGGAGATTGACTCTTCCTTTCTTGGCGGCCATTGACTACCAGTCGCTGTTCATCCAGCAGCAGGACTTTGCGTGTTTCTTCAGTTCATGTTGCCTCTCCTGTTCATGTTGCCTCTCCTGTTCATGTTGCCTCCTCTCCTGTTCAGGCAGCTACACTGTTGTGAACTCAAGGGTGCGTTTTCCCTGCTCTAGACTGCACTGTCTAGCAACAGGCATCCTGATCCACCGGGTACTACCATCCTTCCTCCTCCTCTTCTCTAACGCTTTCTGTGCCTTAGGTGGAGAAGTTGCACTGCTGATGTATTAATTAGAGTTAGACACCCCATGGACACTTATTCTCTACATTTTGACCAGTTGTGGATCTATGTGGTAGTCTCTATCTATCTCTTGCAAAGGCTTATTTGAAAAGGAGAGAGACTACACTAAGTACTTACAATACAGTTAGAAATTACATTAGTTTAGGGAAAGGACATTAGTAGGTTCTCCTCTAGAATCTGCAACTTCTGAAGCCACAAGTAGGTGTCAAAGTTCACAGTACCAGGTGTGAGTTTCCTTTTATTTAGTGGGCCTTCAGTCTAGTCTCACATTTAAGCAGTTGGTTATACTAAAGATATAAGTAGCACTGTGGAAATATTATTATCATAGAAGAAAGGATTATAATTTTATTTTTGCTCTTTTGGTAAATCTTTCCGTAAAATCATGGAATTATAGTACCAACCCACTCTGTTTAACATTTCTTGTTCACTATTCCAGAGCTCCGAGAAACCAAGACCTCTGAGTATTTCAGTCTGTCCCACCACCAGTTAGACTACAGAATATTACTAATGGATGAAGATCAAGACCGCATATATGTGGGGAGCAAAGACCACATCCTGTCCTTGAACATCAACAACATCAGTCAAGAACCTCTGAGTGTAAGTTTGCCATTTTCATGAGGGAAATCTTGACATTATATAGGTAGTCAAAGAATTCATACAATGAAAATAATATATATTGGATAGAAAAACAGAAAATACTGGAAACACACACACAAGTTACTTTTTACTTCACTGCTGAAAAATTTATTTAGTCTAATTCCTCCTATTTGGTTTCAAAAGTTTTAAAAATTAGTTACTGAACAACTGAACAGGATTTGTTAAAGGAAAAACTGATTGGATGAACAAAAAGTAAATTATATAATAACATAATAGCCCAATACTTGAATTCAGAAGGTAAAAGTAGAATTTTGAAAATCAAACATAGTAACACCTTAAAGGTAAATCAGGTAGTCAAAAGCAAATGAAACTCTGAAAATGAACAAAAAAACCTCCCTGTATACTCATCTATTGAAAAGAAAAAGAAGTGAGTGGGGAAGTTTACCATGAAAATCCTGGTTAGAAAAGTAAGATAAACCATGTCTTCTATATGTAATCCACAGAGTATGAGGAATACGGTTATTAGCTGCATGGATATTTGAATAATCATAACCTATATGTATCATTCTTCTTTTACAGTAAGAAAGCAAAATTGCGCATCAATGGAGTAAAAGAGCAAAGCTGTGTTAAGGATATGTTTATTATAAGCAGTACACTTTACATTATTATATTAAAGGCTGACAATTCAAAATCTATTCTTTTCTGCCCTAAGTGACCCAAACCAGCAGTGACTTAGAGTGCCAGCAGTGCTTCAGGGAGACTGGTTTCATTTAATGTGTTACGTTGTTGAGGTACATGGAGGCCCAGTTTAAGTAAATCTCAGTCTGGCAGTGGTGTTTACCAAAGATAATATCCAACTAAGATAGACACATAAACACAATTCATAATGAAATAAATAGGTGCTAAGAGTGTAAGTCCAAAGGACAAAATGTGTGTTGCATTCTGTACATTTATCTTTATAATGACTTTTAAATACACAATTATAAATCTGTGTGTGTTACTGAACAACTGAACAGGATTTGTTAAAGGAAAAACTGATTGGATGAACAAAAAGTGAATTATATAATAACACAATAGCCCAATACTTGAATTCAGAAGGTAAAAGTAGAATTTTGAAAAACAAAGATAGTAACGCCTTAAAGGTAAATCAGGTAGTCAAAAGCAAATGAAGACTACTGGGTTGCTGTGTACCTGAATGAGATGATACAAACTTCATTTTTCTTCCTGAGCAGGTCTTCTGGCCAGCATCTACAATCAAAGTTGAAGAATGCAAAATGGCCGGCAAAGACCCGACAGTAAGTAGTTGAAGAGCATACACACACCCACCACATGCGAACACACACTGTGCATATGTACACAGCACATACATGAAAAATGCACCCATTCCCACACGCATTCATACCACACACACACACACACACACACACACACACACACACACACACACACATACACACCCACCACATACAAACACACACTGTGCATATGTACACAGCACCCTACTTACATACATCACATACATGAAAAATGCACCCATCCCCACACGCATTCATAACACACACACACACACGCACACACACACCACATACAAACACACGATGCATATACACATAGCATCCTACTTACACACATCACATACATACAAACGGACCCCCCCCCCCCACACACACACACACACAGACAAATGCACCAATTACTTAGTCAGGTGTATGTGGCCTGAGAGCAGACTGGGATTAGTGGTGTTAGAGATCCTTGGCAGGACAGGTATATGTGATGGATTGGAATTCTCTGACCATATGTAACTTTAGAATTCCTGACTGGTTAAACTTTCCTGCCTTGCTTTTATTATTTAATACAGACACTTTTCATGATTGATTTCACCAATAAACCTTGTTCCAAGTGACTCCGACCTACAGAATTCTCAGCAGGCTGCTAAAATAACGATAATGTGAGTGTCTGGAGTAACTCCCAGATACCATGGGAACGATTCCTAAAATTCTGGTTGAAAAAATAGTCATGAGCCTGCACATTCCAGATAAATAAGTCAACAGTGATGAACAGCACATTTGTTAATTAAAATAATCTCAAACCACAATCAAAACAGATAAACAAATAGACAAATGTGAAGTACAACACTTTTGCAAGTTGGAGTCCCTTACATGGACTTCAGTGGAAAGAGTCAAGCAAGGAACCTGCACTGGTTTCTGTGAATGACTTTCCGTTATTGACACTAAATAATTCTTTAATATTACATAAGAAATGCATGGAGCTGATTTTTGATGAACACAATCATGCATACATATCAATCATTTTTTGCCTCAAATCATGAAAAATATCATAATGGAACTAAATATCAAAACTGTGCACTGTCACAAGTAATTTAGTAAAAGAGTCCTCTGTTCACTTGTCTTGCTTTCAATTATTCATTTGATAAAGAGCATTCAACACCAATTGCATATACAGTGTAATTCTAGTTACTAAGATATAATTTGTGTAAACACAGACTTAATTTTGCTTTTCTTAACCATACTTATTTAAAAAAATTAACCTGCTTTAAGTGAGCAAGAAAATAGATTTAAATTAAGGAATGCAATAGAAACATGGTTATTGTGTAGAAAATCTAGTATGTTTCTACATATGCATCCAGGTTTGAGGAGATCATATGAAGTAGTAGCCTCAACTTTGTGTTCAGAAAAAATTTGACTGAGCACATTTCAGTAGAAACAAGAGGTCTGAAAAGATTAATGTCCATATAGAACCTTGAGAATAAGTGATCTGGAGAGGCACTGGGACAAGTTAGTCATGGAGAGACTAATCCATTATAAAGGAAATTTTTCAGTATGACTGAATCTCAAGACAGTCTCAGATATAAACTTCCACACACACTGGGGAAAGTCATGGCAACAGAAAACTGTAGAGCATCAGTTTCAACCTGTGGGTCATGATCCCTTTGGAGGATCAACAACCATTTCACAAGGGTCACCTAAGACCACTGGAAAACATAGATATTCACATTACGATTTATAACAGTTGCAAAATTATGGTTATGAGGTAGTAATGTGAATAGTTTTATGGTTGGGTTCACTACAACATGCAGAACTGTATTAAAAGGTCACAGCATTAGGAAGGTTAAGAACCACTCACTGTTCTAGAGGGAAAGATCTCTGTGCATTATTCCACAAGTGTTCTTGGAAGCCATTACCAGGAGTGACTCAGTTCTCAGTCTTACATTTTCAATTTTATATTTCATCCAGTTAACAGAACTTAAAAGGGGGAAAAGAAACATGACAAAGCATAATTACAATCTAAAGGAAATTTAGAGGTGGAAATCCAGAAAAAAATCTACATTTTGATTCCAGGGAAAAAACATGGGGTATAGTGCTGTGGAAAATGATGGTTTCCTTAGACTGTTCTTTCAATAATTGGGCATGAATTTCACAATTCTCCTTCATCTCCTAATGAAGACATTTCCCACTGATGCATGTCTGATGATGTCTTGCTTTTTCCCACAATAATACCCATGGCGATGAGTTTCCTGATGCTTTGTTCAGGAAGGTTTGCATTTCTAATTCACAGCAATTGCTACAAGGAGAGTATGCAGCCTGTAGATATGTTTGCATACTCACTTTCCAAAACGTGAGCCTGGTGCTTCTACAGTGTCCAGCCAAGTCACTTGACTTCCCTGTCCCTTTGGTGAAATAGAAACCTATTGTTATTTGCCTTGTGATAATTAAAACTTATTGGATAAAAACTTCAATACATGCTTACATTTCCCCATAATGTTATTTTGCTCTGATATCAACCATGGGCATTGTTAATTCTTCTGTATGGTCAATAGTTACACACTTGAGAAGTCATCCATGAAGAGATCTGTTCTATGCATTTTTATTACTAAGTGGGACAGATTTTGCTTTTCCAGATAAAAATGTTGAGTTCTGGGAAATAATAATTTATGAAATTCTTTCAACTACCTACTCTATCTGTGTAGAAGAGACTACCTAACAAATACGTTTCTGTCCTACGTGTGCAGCCCTTACAGAGACCTCCGGTTAATCTGACTTTAGGAGAAAGGGCCAGTGGGAACAAACCAATGAGAAATGGATCTTTGAACATTCTATAAACAATATATTTTATTTTACTTTTCATTGATACCAAGTGTTTGCACATGTCTTCACACTATTGAAGTAGTTGCCACTCAATAACATAACATTTCACTTTTTAAAACATAGGAACTGACTACTTTTTATTAGGTCTTTGCGAACTTCACACGTTCTGATTGTATTCATCCTCCTCCCACAACTCTTCCCCCAATTCACACCTGTTGACTTTTTAAAGTTGTCTAAACCAGTGACTGTGAAGAACATAGATGTCATGAGGTGAAGGCAGTATGTGTAAGTGGCTTTCCAGTACACTAGAATGATGAGACGTATATGTAACAGTTACGAGACACAGTATTCAAACTTAGTGGAACAAACCAGGTTCTGTCCTACGTGTTCCATTCTAATCTTGAAAGCTACGCAGCTGTGCCAGCTAGAAGTTGAAAACAGCCATAATTTAAAGATTAAGAAACTGAACGAGTAAGGAGAATAAGAAGCTTGTCCCGAGTTTTACAGTTGTGAGTGGGAAGGCCTTTGTCTGGTAGAGGACAGAGTCCCAGATCCTGACATTGCATGTCCCCTAGGAGAGCAGTAGGGTTACAAGACACAAGGCAAAGGACAACAGTGGAACTGGGATGCTTTGCAAAGCTTGTTGTGATAGTTTTGGCAGAAACCATATTAGCCAGATCTGTTAACATTATCCCGAGTTTTATATCGATAGGAAGATTCACATAAGTTTAACCTTCTTTTTTTTCCATCTTTTTGGTTTTTGCTGCATCTGAGTATTAACTACTTTGGAGTTTTGGCTTTCAAGTCATCTTTTGAGCCTTTCTGGTCATGATACACTAGCTACTTCTCTGAGAATTCCTTCCCACCAGTCCTGGGCTTGCTGCTCCTCCTGTGTGTGCTCCTACCACTTATTTCACCGATTCTTAATCGTGTGTCTCTCTGCACTAATTGGAAATGCTGTGTGGCAAATGTCATTATCCACTATGACCAGATTTGTATCTAGAAACTTCATCAAATTTAAACAAGTTCTGAATTAATAGCAAGGAAAGCAATTAAGCAAGGGAATCTGTTCAGAGTTTATTAGGCACGGCAATGTGACATGGAAGATGATGAGTTTGCTAAGGCTCTTAGATTAACAATGTCTATAGCAACTATTTCAGAAAAAAAACATCTTGTTATTCTTTTTCCTTTAAATATATTTATCTTCTCTTAAGTAAAACAGAAAGTGGTATTAGAAATCCAATTATAACAACAGAAAGAAACCAGAATTTGTATTTCAGAAATTTCATGTGTAAATGAAATCTACAACAAATTGTAAGTAAACTTATTTTTTAATGAGGGTATAGGAATGTAGCTCAGTTCATGAATGCATGCCTAGCATGTAAACCGTCCTTTGTGTCCAGTCCCAACACCATGTAAGCACAGCATGGTGGCACCCACCCTTAATCTCTGCCCTTTCATCAGAGGCACAAAGCTATCATCAGCAAAGGAGCTACCTGAGGCCTGCCAATCCTATAGGAGACACTTTCCCAAGACAAGGAGCAGGAGAGTCAAATCTAGTAGCATTTTAAATGTTATACCAGATAATAACTATTTTCTACAATAATTATTTTTATTGAGAATAAATTACCATGTTGGAAATATAGCAATGTTTTTCTGCTCAATTAAAGAGGACACAGCTATTTTATTTTAATATTTTAACTGACAGAAGTTAACTTTATAAAGCATTGAGATAGGTATATTTAAATGTATAATTTGGAGACAGTGGGCACAGTGCTTGAATTGCCGCAGCATAGATGATGGCCTTCTCATTGGTTAAGGATGGAAGTGATACTTTTCATTACCTGGCAAGAACCAGGATCACATAACTGGCATTATGATCTGGCTCTTAAATACCACTTCCAAGCTAATGTTGGGATGGCTCACTCTTCGTTTTTTGTGGCACTATTTTGAAGGTTATGATGCTTTTAGGTGGTGGGCCCACCTGACATAATAGGTCACTAGAAACTTGCCTTTGAAAATTCTACCCATCTTTGGTTCTAGACTTCTCTGCTTCTTGGTCCTTGCTGTATGAACACTTGAGTTTACAAGCTCCCACAATCACAAAGCCACTCTTCCATGCTTTCCAAATCATGATGGGCTGAAATCCAGATATACATCCCACAATGTTTTGGGAGTTTGGAGAGTCTCTTGGACAACCGTGGCCAACAACTCATGCAGATAGGGGAGTGCTCTTGAGATCACAACCCTAGCCAAAGAACACATCACATGATTATCAAATACCAAATGGCCATCCTGAAAACATGTACATACAAGTAAACACAAACACACACACACACACACACACACACACACACACACACACACACACTCACATGCACACACACACATTCATAATAACAATTAAAGAAAAAAAGTTCATGAATTTGAAAGATAGTGAAGGTAGAGGTGTATCGGAAGGATTGAAGGGAAAAAGGGGGAAGGAGGAAATAATGTAATCATAGTCTCAAAAAAGTTAAAAAGGCATCTTTGGTATTTATTCTACTAAAGTCCCCAATACCAAATCTTTTACACTTTAGTATTATGAACAGGACCAGTACTAACCTGGGAAAGACAGATGGCCTACCTACAGCTTTATTAATATATTGCTCAAAACAAATGTTATTACTGTCCCTTTACTGATGCAAAATTTGAATCACAGAAAACCTATATAGCTGACTTAATAACATCCAGCAAAGCTGAAGCCCAGGTTTGAATCCCAGTCACTGGCTCTGTGAAGTGCATATTTGCTTATTCCTTATCCCCATCAGCATCTCTCCTGCCTTTGAAGACAATGGCAGTAGCATGATGACAGACCAACTCCAGTCGCCTCCTGTTTCATGATGCGGCACTCCGTATTACACTCACCACTCTAGGACTTTCACTAAGAGGAAAAAGAAGAATCCCACCGACTCATGTGCTTGTGTTTCTTTCTCTTTTTATTTAATTTTAATTATATGGATGTGTGTAGATCAGTGTGTGATTATGTGTACGTGAGTTGTGAGCTACCCCGTGCGGGTGCTGGGAACCAAACTCAAGTCTTCTGGAAAAGCCATGGCACTGTCTCCCCAGCTCCATGACTTTGTTTGCTGATTATATAATTTTCATTTGGAAAATTCTTTATTTATGCATCTTTATTGTCAAGATTATTCTGCAAGACCCAGATGAAATTATACTTCTGCTCAAGCATTATACTGAGTTCATGTATGAATGTGTTCATGTGTGTATGTATTAGTATACATAGTACCCTATGATGACTTCATGGATCCTATCACAGCTTGATACATATGTTCCCCTCCTTTCTTTGAAAGGAGAAAGTTGTCCAGGCACTCAGGTGTTGCCAACCTCAGACACTGTGCCTTAGCAAACATTTGTTGCAAGGAATTTACCCAACAGTTTAGATCAGAAATGATAAGGTCAGAAAGCGATGCTCTGCAATGGAAAAGCAGAACTCAAAGATAATGGTGGGCAGTGACGAACTCGACTGTTCAGCTTCACTTTTGTGTTCTGTGGAGGAAGAGGTGGGAGGTGTACTGAGTATGGCAGGGTAGGAATTTGTCTGCTGATAGTCAAAATGCTAGAGGAAATCTAGACAGTGGTAGTGGCTGAAGTTTCTGTCTGAGGTAAGAAACTGTATCCCTATTGGAGATCAACTTCCTTATTACTAAATTGAAATTCAGCTACTTAATTTGAAACATTGCTGTGAGAGTTAAGGATATATATATATATATATATATATATATATATATATATATATATATATATATATATGTGTGTGTGTGTGTGTGTGTGTGTGTGTGTGTGTGTGTGTGTGTGTGTGTGTATGGAGAAGCCTGAAAAATCTTACTAACATAAAAATACTATTTGTATAAGTATTCATTACTGGAAAGTGTGGATTCTTAATGCATGGGTATATGATAATGTACAGCAAACTATGGATTAATTATTACACATGTGGTTGGAAATCTTCCTTATAGAGTAGTTACCTGTGTGAATATAGGCAAATTAAAAACAACAAGAGCCTCTATGGTTTATTTTTCTGAAGGGGACTGAGTTTCAAAAAGACAAAATTAATAAATTCATGTGAAGTCATTAAGAATCATACACTGAGTATTCAACATGTATCAGTTATAAAGTTAAACTGAGCATCTTAGGAGGTATGAATGGTCAAATATATAAAATAGTTATTTGTATGTCTTCTATCACATAAAGAACAAAAATATTATCCATAATAAATAGGTATTTGAAGATATTTGAAATGATAGTTTTATCTCCAATATGAAAATATGTAACATGTTGACTTTTTCCTTATTTCCTAATTATTACTACAGCAATAATTTATCAGAGTAAATTGTCTACAGAGCCCAAGATAAGGCAGATGTAACCTTTATTTCTGAATTTGCATTGAATTCATGTTTTATCAGAAGGTAATTAGTACATAATTCCAGAATGGTTGATCAAAATTGAGAAAAAAAGTAAGTGTGGGTCTGTTTGCTCACAAATCTCGGGAAAGACATGTTGCATACACACCACCCTTCAGTTCTGCAGTTTCTCCGAGATATTATGTTATCACTTCTAGCTATAATTAATCTCCAGGTACCTCTAAAAACACAACACTGTATATTTAACAACGATCATTAAAATAAAGTGTATAGTCTAGACTTTAAGGATTAATTTGACATTAGAATTAAAGATTGATTAACAATGCATAGTAGAAACATCTGCTTAAAACTCCCATCACAAAAAGAAATATACATTTGCTGACAAGTAAAAATGAATATCAACAAAAATGATGGAATATATAAAATAATATAAATGTTTAAATAAAATTTAACTCCTATTTTTGCATTTTGTTTTATTCTACTTTGTAATAACATAAATACTAGATATGCAACATACCTAGAAGCCATGAAAAAGAAAAGTGTATTATAGACTATCAAAGGAGACACTACTGTTAAATTTGATATAGTTTATTGCTTTTATTAGACAAATTACACCTCAAATGATAAATTTATTTTCAATAAAATTCCTTGAGAGAAAAATGACTTCGTAAGGAGACATCATTCTCTCTCAGGCTTGATTAATTTATAATCAGCAGAAGTAATGAGCATGCCAGCAGTGGAGTTTGGGGACGATTAACTCGGCCACAGAGAACTTACAAACTCCTGCAAGGTCACAGTTAATTTAGAAGTACAGCAATGACACCCTGGCCTCTTTAGTTTTACTGGAGCCAGGTGAAAAACAGGTTTGGGAAAAATGAAAAACAAATTTGGTGGGGAACCTGGGTAGAGAGTACGACTCCACCATTCTTCACAGAAACAGCAGCTATTCAGATATTCTAAGATGACTTTCATCTCTCAGTTGGATAGACTAGCCCTGGTTACCATGGTGAACTGACGATAACATGGAATGTAATGAGCACAACTTCACTTCAAACATTTCTGTATAGTGTGTGTGTGTGTGTGTGTGTGTGTGTGTGTGTGTGTGTGTGTGTGTTTGTGTGTGTGTGTGTGATATTTTAAAGAAAACTAGTGGTATGTCTATTGCTTTTTGCATTTATATTTCTTTGTTTTTATTGTGTGTATGTACAACTTGTGTGAGCACATGCATACACAAGTAGGGGTCTGAGAATAAGTTTTCAGAGGTATTATCTCTTTGAACTGTGGGTTCTGGGGATGAAACAGTCTCCAGGCTTGGTAACAATCAACTTTAACCATTGATCCACTGTGCTGGCTGGACTCTGTATGCCTGCACTTCTGATCAATCACATCAAAGATTAGGCTTGCAAAACAAGCTCTAAAATTTGGGCCATAAAAACTTATACAGGATTGGCTTGGATGATAGCTGAACAGTTAAAGTACTTTTGATGCAAGCAGCAAGTGTGAGCACCAGCGCTCAAACCCAGAGAAGCCATGTGAATGCTAGGCTGCATGGTCTTTAAGCCTGGCCACCTGCTATTTTAGTGCTCAGATGGTAGACATGAACCTCCCAGATGATCGAGCTAGCTTATCCATATCAGTGAATTCTGATTTCTATTGCGGGGCTTTGCCTCTGTAAATAATGTGGAGACTGATGTCCGAAGACTCCTGACATCAATATCAAGTCTCCATACACAAGCACATGTGTGTGGACATGCATAAACACAAACACAAGCCCACATATACACATGAAAATTAACAACAAAAACTCAAACAGCATATGAAACATTTCCATATGAGAAAAAAATAATTTGAATTGATACACGAGGTAGGCTGCTTGTTCCCAAGATAGATGAATGGAATAAACCAAGTTGTTCTCTTACTGTATCTTCAATGATGTCTCTTCACAATAACAGTGAAAAGTTAGAAAGAAAATGTGCAGAGGAACATGTCTAAATCGGATGTATGGATGTGTTGAGAGCATTTTCATGAGGTTTTAGAGTTACAAGAGATTAAATAGAAACAGCAATGTTTGTCCAATCCGAACTCTGTAAGAATAAAGGTTTTGTCTGTTCTGTTCACTGAAAACGCCCAGAGTTCTGAAATCACCCGGCTTATGTTTGGCAAATCTCAGTTGAGGCCCTCTTTCTGGAACAATGTTGTAAGTATTGCTGAACAGCTGGATTTTTTCTGATGCCCAGTCTCAATATTTGATTTCCTATTTCTATAAGTTAATTGAGTGTTTCCAGATGGCATTTACAAGTTGTACAGGGTTTCTCCAAGATACGGACAAGGGCAGATGTCACTTCCTTGTCACCTCCCACATGACGTCTCAGGGTAGTAGAGCTGCTGGAGGTGGCGTTAGGACATGGTCTCACTGTTACTTCCTTTTGCCAGCACGGCTGTGGGAATTTCGTCCGTGTTATTCAGGCCTTCAACCGTACTCACCTGTATGTCTGCGGCAGCGGAGCTTTCAGCCCAGTGTGCACATACTTGAACAGGGGAAGGAGATCTGAGGTAAGTCTGACCGGTTCTCTTTGTCCATTCGGGTGTTAGTGTCTGAAATTTGATGGTATTTTAGAGTTACAAACTTGGGACTGCAATAACTGTAAAATATTTTCATGTTTTTATAAACACATGAATATATTTCATTTTGATTTTGTCTACCAAGGCAAGCTAAATTACACTCTTTTCACTTTCAAATTAAACATATGTTTACTTGTTTCTAAACATACAAGTTGTAAAATGAAGGAAAACTGCAAATTTATAATTATATTAAATGTAAAGCACTGAAGTATAGAAATACTGTTTACGCTTACTTTCATAAATATGTATTTATTCTTACTTAGGTTTTAATTTCAATACACCATATATACTTTAAGATGTGTTTAAAGCAGGCTATGAAATACTTTGTTGAAAAATAACTTTATAAATTGACGAACCATGCTTTCATTTAAACTACCATTACCCTATGCTAGTTCATTCTCACCTTACTCTTTTATTGCTTGAAGTGATGTGAGTTGTTATGGTATGGTGTTTGCTGAACACTAGTCAAACAGTCAGCACTATGTAGTCAAACATAAGGCTGACTGGGTTGTAAATGTGCTATCAAGGACTGCCCTGGTATCTCAGCATAGCTGCTGACGCTCGTGCTGTGCAGAAAACCTAAGAAGCCTTCCCCGTTTTTCTTTCTTTCAATCACCTGCATCATTTCACCTAATATGGTTATTTTAGAAACTGAATTATTTGAAACTACTTTTAGTTCATTATTTAACTTAAATTTAGAAAGTCTAGTTCTTAAGTCATGTCTTTATTGGCTTTTAAAGATGAGAATTATGGGGAAAATCCATAAATATCGATATAAATATTCTTTATAAAGTTTTCTTCAGTAAGAACCAATGTACTTTACTGCTAATGTAGTTGGACAAAGATTCCTCTATACTCCATTTTGTTGAATTGCATTTTATACATATAATTTATATATACACATATATAGATGAATAAAAAGACATTAAATATTAACTAAATACTTATAATTGGACCTCAGGTTTTTTTCTTTTTTCTAAATGAGGCTCAAAATGCTGCTGAAATATTAACATACTTAAGGGAAAGTTAGGCATTTGGGGAGAATGCTGTCAGATGAACTGAACTGAGCATTAGGACCACACACCTATGATCAACTGATTAAATAAACTCATGCTGTAGACATCTGGAATCTGCCAGACACTATCCTGAAGTCCACACAGCCACTGTGCAGGTCAACAATAACAAGACAGATTTCAAATAAAATCCCTTTCCCATTTTAAGTTACCCACTAATTTCCTCAAACCTCAATCAGGAAGTCTTTCTAAAAATTATCCCCTTTGGAAAACTAGCATGACCTAATTATGATCACCTTGGGAAACTGAAAACACACTAGTTTCACTTCAAAAGATGTCTTTCACAGCCAGACAGCATTCCCATTATTTCAGTCTTTTACGTAACATGTGGGCATCTTAGCAAATAATTCAAGTATGAAGGCATTACAATTTGTAATGTTTATCTTTGTCTTGATAATCAATCTAGTTCAAAGATTTTAAACACGACATTATTTTAGACATCCTCAGCATATAAAACACAATGTAAATGTTCCCATCCCCTTTAGTCAGATACAAAGGACCCCCTATCGTGAAATGCCAGTGCAGTGCAAATGTGTTGTTTTGAGAGAATACTCTACTTTTATCCCTAAATTTGTACTTTGTAATGACCAGAGCATAGGACTTTTGCTGACATCCTACAACTATGTTAAGCCATAGCCTTTTCCTAAATTTAAAAGCAAATTAAATGTGAGCCAGTTGAGTTGGCATAGTTTTTAATGCTTGATTTTGAGACATTGTCTCATTTTCAACCACCTACCTTCATAGAAATTCATTGGTTCTAGGAGAATATTTCATGTCTGAGCATTGCGCACCTTTTTGAAGCCTGACCACGCTTCCATTAACATGCGAGTGTGGGTGAATGCACTAGCAGAGCATTGCAATACTGGTCATCTGAAAAGCAAAACTTATGAAACTGAAATCCGACCTCTTCTCTTCTGTACCCTATCTTCCATCTGCTAACTTCTGTTCTGGGTAAAGCACAGAGTGACATCAGTAAAGCACGATTCCCAGTGATGAAGACACCATCAGGAAAATGCGCTTGGGTAGTGTTGCTGTAACCTCTGGAAAGGTTGGCAAAACTATCTGCTATTGGTTACAAGGGCTGCTTCTATATCACCTTTCCACACAAATCCATGATGTTTAAGCCCTGATCCACCACTCATCATCAGATGCCTTTACCATTGACTGGTCATCATCCTCACAGATGACAGTGAACATCCCAGGTGTCCACATGATTCCTGTGCTTCTCAAAGCAAATCCCCCATGGTTATTCCATTCCAACAGCCTTTCATAGCTTTGTTTTGTTGTCAATAAATTATCTGATCAAGAGCCACCTATCTCCTGTTTCATTTGGTCCATCCTCTGTCTCTGCATTCCCTTTGATTTCCATTTTAAGAGAATTGTTCCTTTACCTTAAAATTATGTTAGTTCTGTAAGTTTTCATGTTTGTCTTGCTATTCAGATGATTAGCTTTTCCTAACAGCTTTCACTCCCATCTTCCAGGACTTTATTAAACATTTTAAACATAACTTTTACTTCCACACAGTAGCTCACACTAATGAACGACCGCATTGATGCTCAACTTTCTGTTTTTGTCATTGTGACTCCATGAGTAAACGGATGTCAGCGATCGTGCGCCTCCAGCATCATTCATTCTGCTCAAGTTTGAGTTGGTTATTCAAGACCTTTGGGTTTCGATGGGAAATTTCAGTTCATTTTTCCTAATTCAGCAAAATGCATCATTGAAATTTTGATTTTTGATTTTGTTGAATTTGCAGTCCATGTTCAGATATAAAGCCGTTTAAACAATGTTAATTCTGATAGTTGATGAGCACATGAGATCTTTCCATTCTCTAGTGTCTTTGTCAAATTCTTTCCCCAGTATCCCAGACTTCATTGTAGAGGTTGTTCAACTCCAGGGTTAAGCTTATCCCTCAGGTGTGTTTTACGCTTTTGTGAATGGGATATTTCTCCTAATTTCTTTCTCAGTAAGTTTGCTATTTGTGTTTAGAAATAATACTGGTGAGGACATGACGAAAATGTAGTCCTACTCACTACTGATGGGAGTGTAAACTTGTATGACCACTTCGAGAGATCAACATGGAGGTTTCTCAAAGTACTAAAAGTAGAGCTACCTATGACTCAGCTATTCCACTTCTGGATATATAGCCAGAGGACTCTGTCTTAGTTTCTTTTCTGTCGCTGTGAAAAAAAAATACTCTACCAAAACAACTTAATAGAGAAAGGGTTTAGTTAGCTTTTAGTTCAGGTTATAGTCCATTGTGGTAGGGAAATCATACCAGCAGTACCTTGAAGCAGCTATTGAGGTTAAGTTTGAAATCAAAGGAAGAGACACAAATGCTACATGTTTTATCTCACATGCAGATCATAGAGTTTAAACTTTATATGCATTGGGAGCCAATGGGTCTTGAAAATGAAAATGGATTATGAGAGGGGAGAGAGACATGGATGGTAATGGAATACCTGAGAAAAGAAAGCAGGAGGGGAAGAGAGTGCCCCATGGCTGAGGGGCATGGGAACAGGTGAATGGAGTCAAAGTAGGGTTGACAAAGTATGTACTGAAGTGCCATAATAAAACTCATTCAAAAGTTACTAAAATTGAAACTATTGAATCTAATATTGTAAAGTTGCAAGGAAAAAGATAAAAAAGAAGAAGGAAGAATGATGATCTGGGGAAAAATAGGGCTGAGTTCTTAGGAAATTAGTTGGAGTCTTATTTCTGCTTGAAATAGATTATTAATATTTTTCACCACATGTTTCCAGTGTTGACTATAACTAGACTATAATTAAGACCACGTAGAGAAGAGGAGGCTGAGTAACAGAGAAGTGGGCCAGTTGAGAACACCTGGTACCTATTTTCATCAATTCCTCCAGTGCCAACACTGGCTTATCTAGGGAAATCTGTTCCTGGCTCTAGGACTGCAACCAAGATTATTAAATTTTCTTGTTTTCCTTCGTCTTTATAATTATTTTCTTTGGAAAGCAGATGTGCTAGGTGTCAGGAGGCTGAATTTTGGATTCTGTTTTGAACTCCACTTAGCTATGATTGCCTTGGTAATATACTCCACTACATCAGACTTATCTATCAAAACCAGACTACTTTTATTTTTTTAAGTGTGACTTTTCTTCTCTATTGAGTTACAGCCATTTCTCACTGGTATCTAGACTCTGATTGCCACCAGACAAATTCTCTTATGTTGTAATTGCTTTCACTATGACCAGTGAGATCACAGGTCACATGATTGTCAACTAGTACCCAGACCTTTCAATACTAAGATATACTTACATGATTTTCCCCTTCCTCTTCTCCCTGATATTCCTCCCATGTCCACCTCTGCTACTACCTCTCAAATTTATGGACCTCTTTTCTTTAACTTATTGTTATTTATCTAACAATATTTATCTTATTGTTATTACATACACATATAAATGAAGAGACACAGACATGCAGCTTGCTGGGTCCCTTCAGTGTTGTTTGCGTGTACATGTTTCAAGGGCTTCCTACTTGGTATTAGATAAGCAATCTGAAGATCTCATGCCAGGGAAAAACAAGTTCTTCCTCTCTCAGTAGCTGTAAATCACTTGTAGTTCTTCATTTAAGGTGAGGCCTATGAAATTTATCCTATATACATTGGAATGTCAGCTGTTGTTGCAAATTTTCATATATTGTTAGGCAGTTATGTTGGAGATATTTGATGGGTAAAGCTTGTCTATCATAGCAAGGAGTCACAATAACATAGAAGAGCTCCCAGTCTTCTGGCCCTTACAATCTTTCTGCTCCCTCTTCCTTTCTATTCATTCAGGAGTTATATTGTTGGTCTATGATATGTAGGTCTGTATTGTAGGCCATGATCAGTTCTCTGTGTTTTGTGACTAGTTGTGACTTTCTGTAATGATCTTCTACTGCAAACAGTTGCTTCTTTGATGAGGGGTGAGCACTACATTTGTCCATGGGCGTAAGGATAAGTACTTAGAATGCAGATAGGAATTATACTGGGTTAGGAAAGTGGTGGTCATGGGCTCTCCTCTAAAAGCCATGACCACACTAGCCATGTGTAGTTGTCTATGCATGATTTCCCTCATGTTAAGATGGCTAAAATTGAGTCCAATTATATAGCTGTTGATTACCTCAAAGATATAAGTGGCACTATTTGACCTTTAGGGATATTTGGAACAATGGTCATTGTTATGGTTCATGAGAATTACAACTAGGTAGGACTGATGATTGCTTTCCTCTCTTAGAAGTTTGTGTATCACTTTCTGGTCCTGTGAAAGCAAGTTCTTAGGGAGAAGGCTTTCAGGTCAATTAAGCATGTTGTATCTTCAACAATAAAGACTTACCTCCAACTTCTGAGAAGCAACCAGGGGCAATAGCAATGGCCTGTGTTGTTTGGGGAGTCTCTTGGAGCTTCCTGACCAATGTCTTGAAAGACTATTTCTAATGCCTCATATTGGGGCTTTGTTAGATAGTCTATGATTCTTTTGGGAGTATTATCATCCAAAGAGAAGTAAACTTATTTAATCTCTCTCTGTCTCCACATATATATGTATGTGTGTGTGTGTATAATATATATATGTATGTATGTATACATAGGTTTAATAAGAACAACCTATTTTCTTGAGTCAAGCATGTTATTTTATATATTCCTTTCCAAATCTTCCTAAAGCAGAAGTATAATCAATCATTTCTGGAGCAGAGTTCTGGTCATTTTATCTCTACATTAAAAATATTAAGAGACTATATTTATTCAGGATAGTTTTCAAAAACTTTAACTTGATAATTACAGTTCTCCATCAGCTGATGTAATCCATAAAAGTGTTCTTTTTTTTGGCCTTTAATTTAGTAATAGTTTGTGCTAGGTTGATATATGAAAAATGTCAATATCTCTGTTTATAAAATCACCCCCTAATGCTGCTCACTGAGCACCAGTTCAGCACAACCGATTTTACTTCATCATAATCTCAAGTTGTTCCTACTTCATCTCTCTGTACATTTTTTTTTTTTTTTGGTTTTTCGAGACAGGGTTTCTCTGTGTAGCTTTGCACCTTTCCTGGAACTTTCTTTGGAGACCAAGCTGGCCTCGAACTCATAGAGATCCACCTGCCTCTGCCTCTGAGTGCTGGGATTAAAGGTGTGCGCCACCACCGCCCGGCTCACATTTTTCTATTAAGCATTGAGCAGAATCTTACAAAACCAATATTTGTATTTTGTTCTCTTTAGTTTCCATCTTTCTCATTCGAATATAAATTACACAATGCCCAAGATTTCTGTAATTTTACTTATTGTTTTCTGTAGTTTTGTTTATTGTATCATCAGTGTTTAATTAATCTTCAGGTACACAGAGATGACCATATTTTTTAATGAACAGATAATTGAACAGATGATTTTTTGTTTTGTTTTTTGTTTTTGAGACAGGGTTTCTCTGTGCAGTTTTGGTGCCTGTCCTGGATCTTGCTCTGTAGACCAGACTGGCCTTGAATTCACAAAGGTCCGCCTGGCTCTGCCTCCCAAGTGCTGGGATTAAAGGCATGCTCCACCACCACCTGGCAAACAGAAGATATTTTAATATAAGTTAATATTTTAAAACTTGTACAATGTGTTACACAAATATTAAGTAGTAACATAGAATTTTAGTTTTTAAAAATCTCCTTTTAGAAACATTGTAATTGTTGCATACATTATTGCACTACTGTTACTTTTCTTCCTTTGGCTAGGGTTCTACAAATACATGCAATTAAATGTATGATTTTAGATTTCCAAGAGACTTTTGATGATGTTGATTTAAAGAGAACTCATGCTTGGATCAGTTCGTGGGGCTGTAAAATGGCATAAGAGTTAGCCCGGCTGAGGTTAGAGCCTAATTTACTTCTCATAGGTTAACTGAATCTTAATATACATATTGGAGATACAAGAGTAGAAAGTATTTATGAACATATCTTGTTTTATTAAATAACAATCATTTAAAATAAATTAGTTATAATTATATTTCATTGTACATATTATACTGTATCATTATCATCTTATACATTTTTCTACTACAAAGGACCAAGTTTTCATGATTGACTCTAAGTGTGAATCTGGAAAAGGACGATGCTCCTTCAACCCCAATGTGAACACTGTGTCTGTTATGATCAGTAAGTAAAAAATGAAAGGGGGGGGTGGTCTAAATAATAAAGAACCCACACAGCTTATAAATTAGTTAATGTAATCAAAAATTTTAAAGATGTCCATGAGATCATGACTCTATGTAAGTGTGTACTTTCTTTCCTTTTCAAAGGATTATAACCCTAAAATTACCTCTCATAGTTTGTGTGGGTCACTGTCTTCTAAGGGTTAGCCATTTCTATTTGATCACTAAATAATACAGATGTTTCAATACTTGTAGCAATTAAATGCCAAGAAACATTATAAATTTTATATCACAGTCACAACATCTGATTTACTGGCAAGTCCAATGGTCATTTGCTGTTTAGGGTGCTCATTGTGGGACTACGAAGAAGTCAGATGCTATCTTTTTTTTTAAGATTTATTTATTATGTATACAGTATTCTGCCTGCATGTATCCCTACAGGCCAGAAAGGGCTACAAGATCTCATTACAGATGGTGGTGAGCCACCATGTGGTTGCTGGGATTTGAACTCAGGACCTATGGAAGAACAGCCAGTGCTTCTAACCTCTGAGCCATATCCCAGATGCTATCTTTTTTTTTTTTTTTGGTTTTTTCGAGACAGGGTTTCTCCATGTTGTTTCGGTGCCTGTCCTGGTACTCGCTCTGTAGACCAGGCTGGCCTCAAACTCACAGAGATCTGCCTGCCTCTGCCTCCCAAGTGCTGAGATTAAAGTTATGTGCCACCACCACCTGGCTCCCAGATGCTATCTTTTAAAGAACTGCTCACAGAGTTCTTGAAGCTTTTTTGTGTGGTAGTACAATTAGCAAAATATTTTTTGTATAAAGTAAAAGACACAAATTTCTATTTCCATAAAACTCTACAAAGAAATCTTGAAAACACTTCTCTCTTAAAATTCTTCCCAAGGTGTTATTATTTAAGAATTTATTACTTTTCCAAAATGAAGCAGGAATTTTCCTATATGCTATTAGAAGCACTCAGAATATGGAACAAGAAATGAAATCAGTTTGACGTGCAGGCTCTTATAAGGTTTAAGCTATAATTGATTCTATGGTGTACAATAGAGTTAGAAAGCTCTAAGCCAACTTGAGTGTCTTACTCATCCACGCTTCTTGTAAGTATATATAATTGAGAGCTATGTTCATCAATGATATTGAGCAGTGAGGATTTATAATCCATGGTTTTATGACTATTGAGCCATACCAACATGTGGAATAATTATGTTATATTGATTTAATAACCAAATCTATGCATGTATGTACACAACAGATATTTAAACAATGTTTAGACAGCTGAACTGTTAAAAAATGACTCATTCTTATCTTTGTTATCACTGTCTTAAATGTTGCCATGGACTTTGTGTGCTTCCTGGGAAGGAGAAATTGGTGATAAGGTGCCTGTCATACCAGCTCTTTAACTGATAGGGTTCTAGTTCAGAACCTGATGAGCTCATTTTAGAAATGTTTCACCTGCAGTCTGCCCTGTCCAGCAGATATTATTATAAAGATACATAGATTTCATGGAGTAGATGCGCATGTACAGGTTAAATATTTAAATAGGTCACTTATGACAAATTGGACAACTTGTTTAATTTTCGACATAGTTCTTTCCTGTCACTTTATCTTTTACAACAGAGTTACTGTGGAAAAAGTGGGCTGTGTTTGTTATTAGGAACCTTGTAGCCCTAAAGATTCAAATGTAGAGTTTGAATGATTAGATTGTTCATCAATGTAGTTTCTATGTCATCAAGTAATAAAAATAATAATAGTAGTATGTCCATCCTATTAGATAAAATCTTAAATGTTTAATATATAATGAGTACTATTAGGATCATAGCTTATTTCTTATAATTTATGAATGAAAATACCAGGATTCAGTGTGTTGAATGACATCACACTAAATCAAAGTTTATTACTTGCTTGGTTGCTAAAATTAGAACAAATAGTTCTTAGATTTGATTTTATAACTACAGAATCATCACTATCAGAGCATATTAAAATTAGTCCTTTGTAAATTTGGTGAGCAACAGAAACTAATTTATAACTATAAACCTCTTCTAATAATTGGGATGATATATTAGGTTAAATCTCCTTGAACTTTAAAATAAGTTTAAAAGGCATTAGCGTATCTCTGACCATGGTTCCTTTTTCATAGATGAAGAACTCTTCTCAGGAATGTACATAGATTTCATGGGAACAGATGCTGCTATTTTTCGAAGTTTAACCAAGAGAAATGCAGTCCGAACTGATCAGCACAATTCAAAATGGCTGAGTGGTAAGGAAATATTTACTGCATTTCCCCCTTTGATCTCTTTTCCATAAACTAACTTTTAATTCTATGCTGATAATAGGGAAAGTAGTTAAAAAAAAGGTATCAGCCTTTGACATGAGTAGTCATAATTCTATACTCTATATGCCAAATATTTAAGACAAATAAATGCCCATCATTCTTATTGTAATTGTTTGATTTATTAATGATGATATAATTGTCATAGAACTAGGTATATACAAATATAGGTGGTACCCATCATGCATGCCTCGTTTTACTTCTTTTAATTGCTTTTATATTTCCATAATTCTAAATGGAAGAATTCTACCAAATTCACAACTTAAAATACAATAAATAGATCATATACAGAAACTTTTTTGTGTATGTTTAGACTAAGAATCTAAACTTGTATTATACTACATATTACTTTTTCAAAAATTGACTGATGTTAAATGTATGATGATGTGATGACTTCATGATAATTCTTGATGGTTTAAATTCTCAAGGCCATAGGAATTCACACCCTGAAAGAAGGCTGATTTTACTGCTAGGATTCCAGTTAGTTTCTGACTTGTGGATGGGGAGGAAGCCACATGCACTTGCCATTCTGCCCTCAGGAAACTTGCAAGCTCACTCTAAATCGCCTAAGTTAATGATTCAGTTTAGCATTAATCACCACAATTAAGCATTTAACATATGAAAGCATTGATTGTATTTTGCTTCTTCAAATTATTCCATCAGTGTATCTGGAAATAGAATATTCTAAAAAGTTGTTTTGTTCCTGAAATAAGGAAACCCTCTGTGTCTACACTGACTACATTTTTCCTTCAAACATTTCCTCTTCATTTCATTTGCTGTATTTTAAGGGAAAACAGAGTCAGAGTTTTAATACTGCGTCAACAGCTGCTGCTGCTGCTGCTGCTGCTGTTTGTTCTCCCCCTCCCCTTCTGTCTCCTTCTTCCTCCTCCTGCCCCTCCTCCTCTTCCTCTTTGCCTTCCTCTTTGTCCTCCTCCTTCTTCTCCCCCTCCTCTTTCTTTCGTGCTTAAAGTTACTTCTTTTTCCTTTTACTGAACATAGATTTTGTTCATGCACTATATTTTGATTGCAGTTTGCCCTCCCCTACTCCTCCAGATCCTTTCCACCTCCTCTCCCATCCAGATCCACACCCTTTTGTCTCTTGCAAGAAGACAAACAGGTCTATAAGGAACAGCAGTAAAATAAAATACTGCAAGATAAAGGAAAGACGAACAAATTGGAATAGGACAAAAGAGCCAATCATGAAAAAGAGCCAAAGAAAAAGCACAAGAAACTCATACAGATGCAGACACACCAAATTCACACACAGAGGAGTCCCATAAAAACATGAAACCAGAAGACATGATATATATGCGAAGGACCTGAAGGAGAAAACAAAAAACAAACAACTCCCTGACTTAATATTAGGAGAAAAATACCCTCCAAAGACGCTGTGGAATTCATGGACTGCTAGGCATAGGGCTGCCCCTAAGAGTGGTTTACTTCTCTAGTGAGACTTCCTTGAAGAAAACTAATTTTTCATTTGCAAGTACTTATCCAATGAAGACAGCTTCTTCATTAGGAATGGACCCCATCTTCTTATTCTGTGTCAATCAGTTAGACTTATATACACTTGATTGCAAACACCACATTCAAAATCCAACATAAAAACAAGCATTAAGTTTCATGGGAAATAACTGCTAAAATAATATTAAAACTCATTCACATGCAAAGAATTTTTACATACATTTCTTAAATGTTCTTCAGACAGACAAGCTTTGGTCTGTCACACTAGAGCTATAATTTGTTGTGTTTGATACTTTCCATGAGGTATGTTGATATACAACCACTGCTTTTTGAAATTTTGCCTATGAACAGTGAATTATTCACTGTTGGGAAAAGAATGCATCTGTCATCTATTTCAAAGAATGGTAGGTGGATTTTTATCATGAGAACATAGTCTTCATATTTCTTTTGCAGAACCTATGTTTGTGGATGCGCATGTGATCCCAGACGGCACTGATCCAAATGATGCTAAGGTGTATTTCTTCTTCAAAGAAAAATTGACGGACAACAATAGGAGCACGAAACAGATCCATTCCATGATTGCAAGAATATGTCCTGTAAGTGCATTGGAATTTCTAGTTAAAGCAATTCAGATTATGAAATGTATTTTCCAGTACTTCTGTGGTTTTATCATTTACTATCATCAATGAATAAAATATAGAAAGAATATTTTTAGGACAACATTCATTTCACAGTTTATGTGAGACAATTATACTGAATTTCAGTAAAAATATTCAGGGAAATATTTTGGGTGTTCTTTTAAACATAGAACTAGTTTTGGCTAATTTTGCAATTCCATTTGCAGTGTTGCATTCAAACAAATGAGAAAGTGTAAATTACCAAAGAAAACAAAATAACTCTTGTAAATAAAATACATCAGAATCTCAAGAAAATGTAATTATGGTGGAGCCTCATGCAATAGTGGGAAACTAAGAAATTATTTTACCATTCTAATTTTAAAGGACAAAGTGTCAGTGTATTAGCAGTACATATAAAAACGTTGAATAAAATTGATGATGCAATCTTCTGTAGGCTCTTTGTAGACTTGTTGGCTTATTTGCGATAATTTTCTTTGTGAGACATCTTTATTGAAGTATCCAGTGTCTATTTATCTTCAAATATTGCAATATTCTATTGACTAGAACGCAGCTATTTCTCAATAATTTGGGTCAATATAGCAAAGCTAGGAGAAAAGAAAAAGCTGTTGGACACAGAGGAAGACAAAAGTCATCAGTAGACTCTACAAAAGAACAAAATGCCATGCCCTGTGCATTGTCTGGGAAAATGTATGTAATAAACCATCCACTCAGAAAGACTGAATATTAAACTGGAAATGCTTAGGAGTTGAGATAAAATAGAACTATCTGGAGCCTTCTAATGTGGGATATACCTACTTTGCTGGACACAGTGAGCTCTGAAAGCCATAACTGTATGCAGTAAATTTCCTTCACATCTAAGAGAATGAATACTTGCCTCAGCGAGAGGAAAACAGTTATTTATTCACCGCATATAAATGTTTATGCTATATATTGTAAAAATTGAGCCATATACTTGTATTTCCACGTAGTCCATTTCTAGTTGATGTTGGTCTGTGAAAGATCAACCACAAAATACTATAGATCAGGGACTTTTTTTTTAATTGATGATAACCCTTTCTAATCTTTAGATAACAATAAATTAAAAATCAAAGTCCTAGTTGAATTTTTTATACACAATTGTTTCTTCAATCATCTGAATTGTGTTTACAAAATGATTTCAGAACGACACTGGTGGACAACGTAGTCTTGTCAACAAGTGGACCACATTCTTGAAGGCAAGACTTGTATGCTCAGTCACAGATGAAGATGGCCCAGAGACTCATTTTGATGAATTAGGTATGTGGATGTGAGAATGAGCATTGTTTCTAAGGAGGACTTTATGAGCATCATGTCCCTTAACAAAATCTCAGAGAGGATGCATCTTCTCTAGATATTAACAGGTTAAATGCTGTTCTATCTTGGAGGGGAATCATGAAGTGCTCATTGGTGTCCTTAAACATTTTAGTAATTTCTCTCATCATTGAATGCACTACTGAAATGCTAAGATATGAATGAGGGTGGGATAGAAATACTTCTATAATTTACATATAGGTGATGGTATGTTTGATCCTTTATAAATGAATTTATTATATATATATGTATATTTGTTACATTCTGATCTAAATAAATTTAAATTTAGGTAACTATATCAGAACATTATGCAATTTTTTAAAAAATTCTGATATATTTTGACTTAAATTAATGTATATATGAACACACATATATACATATATATTTATATAACTACTGCATTAAATAGAATATTTAGTAGAATTTAAGAAAAAAAATGTTCAATTATAAATTGCAAGAGTTATGCTCCCAGCTTAGTTCTTGCTGATGACTCAGACTAAGTGTTTCTCCTATGACAGGAGGCTTATGATTTCCAGATTAAATAAGGACTAATAGTCTAGCAAGGAATAGTTTTCTGTAGTTGAAGTACTCTGTTATACAGCATAATGTTGTGGTAACTTAGCTCCATTTAGAAACATTTTGGACATTATCTTGGATTTTGAGGCATGTAATGAGGTAAAGAACACATATCTATTACAAAATGCAAAAATATATTGACTCTAAGAATTATAAATCCAAAGGAGACTGTTGCTCACCTTAAAGGGCATTTTCTATCAGATGGCCTTTGGTTCTTCAAGACTCAAGATTCATGTTTTATTTTGCTGTATTATAAATGTATCTGTCTCTGTCTTATAGCATACATTAAAGTTTTGCTGTTAGAGGAATTGTTAGGTGAACTAGTCTTGGAAATTTTGAGCATAAGCCTAAATAAGGTTTTATATTTTTTATGAAGGAAGGGCCCAATATGAAAGATTTTCTTCAACCTTACAACTTTAAATGATAGGTTGAAAGGAAATGGAGAGCTGAATTATTTTTTAAATTAAAATTAATGTATCATCAATAGAGGATTTTGAGGAGACATAGAAACAAGCAACAGGAAAATATCTGTGGCATTCCTACCACGAACAACATGGTCAAGCTTTGTCTTCTCTGCAGACTATTCAAAGTTCTGGTCTATATTATCACCACTCCAGGGTCTTCCACTCAGTGCTTATACACACACCTTTGTTTACATAGAGATCCAATCTTCAAGAATATCCTCAGTGCCAGGCTAACATTTTATTTAAGTTATCTTGTGTTTATCATCACATTATACCAAATTGGAGCAATTTTCCAGTAATACCTTCCTGAGGACTATACTTTTCATAGTTGAAATTATTGTCTTAGGGTAATTCAAAATTACCAGTTAAAATTTTGGAAACTTTAAAAGAATGTGCTTTTCTTTTTTTTTCTAGAGGATGTGTTTCTGCTAGAAACTGACAATCCGAGGACAACCCTCGTGTACGGCATCTTCACCACGTCCAGGTAATTATTAAACAGTTGCAGCTCTTCCCTTAACAACAAATGCTCCCATTTTATTTGCTTTTGCCAGGTTACTAAAATATATGTGATCTCAGCAAATATTTCCGAAATAGTTTACAAAGACATTTTAAACAATTACATGTTGTTCTCCAGGAGAAACTAAAGCATGAATTAAATTACAGAAGTAAAATACTTAAAGTATTCTAATCAAATCAGAATGCAAGGTTTTAGTTATGATGAATATGTTTCTCTCCTGCCTTTTGGCAGTGGTAGCACAAGCATACATAGACAAGTCATAGACGTGTATATATTTAACTATTCAAAATTTATAACAAGTATTCATTATTAAAACTAAAAAAAATACTTGAAATAACTTTCACTTCTTCACTAATCAAACGTGATGACTATGAGAAGCTAACAAAAACTGGACTGGTTATGTTATTCTGTAATATGACTGTATTTTTGCCTTTCAAAATAGGTTTAATATTTTCTAACTTTTCTTGGAGTCCAACGGCAACTTTATTGTGTTTTTCAGTGCATTTCCCAGATACTTGAAAGTTTCTGTGCACATTTCTGTCAATGAATTCTATACTGGGAGTTACTGTGAATTCAGACTCGTACTCCAGCCAAGTCTATTGGGCCAAAAGGAAGGATGTATTGGTTCCTTTGCAGTTATTAGAAAACTGCAAAATAGTGATTGAAAACATTCTTTTCTAAGTGAGTTTTAAATGTGGTATAAGAGCTGGGGGAGATGCCTCAGTGGGAAACAGATCTTGTTGTCCATGCCTGAGGCCCTGAGTTCCTTCCCTGACACCTATGCAAATGCCAAGTGTGGTGGTGGCTTTCAGAGACCTGCAGCTCACTGAGGAGGCCAGACAGGCTAGGTGGCAAGACCAGTCTCCCCCTCTCCCCTCCTCCTTGGTGGGGTTTTTACCACACTTCACTAATTATTATTATTATTATTATTTGTTGTTGTTGTTTGTAACGTGGATATTGGGGGCTGAACTCAGGCCCTCATACTGGCAAGGTCAGCATTTTCCAGTTGAGCTCTCTCTCCATGTCTGGATCATTTTTCATGGCATGATTAAAATGGAAAATAAATAAACAATGGCAAGATAGACTTCTCCAGTCGCTAATAAGGATATCATGGAAGAACTCTGAAGTTATGATAATACTACTATAAAAAGACATGATGTTCACATATTAATGGAAATTATTTCAAAATGAAGTCATAATTCTGTTCATGATTGTTTAGAATTAAAATTAATATTTTTGTTTATGTTTTTTTTTCCTTTTATTGAAAATAGATTTTTTTTCTCACATAATATATCCTGATTATGGTTTCCCTTCCTCTACCCCTCTCAGTTCCTCCCCATCTCCTGTCCCATCTGGATCTTTCCCCTCTCTGTCTCTCAATAGACAACAAACAGGCTGCTAAGGAATAATAACAAAATATAATATAGGTACAAATATATTTTTATATAATTATATAAATTTTATGTGTATTATATAAAGTATACTAAAGTTACAATAAAAACTAACACATCAGAATTGGCAACACAAACAAACTGAAGAAACGAGCCCAAGAGAAGGCACAAAAACCAGCAACCCACTCATTTGCATCCTTAGGAATCCCATAAAAACATTAAACTGGAAGCCGTAATGTAGGGTGAAAAGAGAGAAAAAGAAGAAGAAAGACAAAAAAATGTTTGTGTGTGTGTGTGTAAATAAAAATAAAAATAAAAATAATAAAATAGAAATTTTGTTTTTAGAAGGAGAAGCCCTGGCACAACATTCTAAGACAAGGAACCTCCCAAGATGCCCTTGAGTTTGTTCTCTGTTGGCATCTACTGCTGCCATGCAGCCTGCCCTTGAGAGTAGTTTCTTTTCCCAGTGAGACTCCCTTAGAGGAAAGTAGATTTTCATTTGCAGGTGGTTATCAGTTGGAGATTGCCTCTGGGCTAGGGATGGGCATGGATGTTACTTCTTTCAACTCTTGGTCCCCATCTGGTACAGACCCGTGCCTCACTCAGTCTCTGTGAGTTCATATGTGCTTTGAGAATGCTGATTTAGTAGGCCTTGTTTCCTTGGCCTTCTTCTTCACCTCTGGCTCTTATGAGCTTTCTGTCTCCTCTTTCACCTTTCACAGGGTTCCCTGAGCCCTGAGGGGAGGGATTTGATGGAGACATCCAGATTAGGATTAGGGCAGAATGCTGCAGGGTCTTTCACTCTGCATATCGGGCTGTTGGTTCCCTTCTGCTGTAGGAGGAAACGTCTTCGCTGCTGGATGATCTGCTTCCCTAGCCAGAGTGCTCAAATTCTCACTAGCACCAATGCAATATATTTTAAGAAAAGTAAAACAGATTCTTTGTTTTCATTTTCAGCTCTGTTTTTAAAGGATCTGCAGTGTGTGTGTATCATTTATCTGATATACAGACTGTATTCAATGGGCCTTTTGCCCACAAAGAAGGGCCCAATCACCAGCTGATATCCTATCAAGGAAGAATTCCATATCCTCGCCCTGGAACTGTGAGTATCCATGGAATTTACTTTTATCTTATTTAAACAAATGTTACATTTACATTTATTAAATATAACTATTAAATATAACTATGGTCCTCTGGGTATGCTCATTATAAGTTTTCAGCATCATGGATCTAGCTTAATCCTTGCCTGGTTTGAGATTTGCTAATATAGCATGTATGTTATAGAAGATGCAATTTTGTAAGTGCTACAATTACGAACAAAATCTCATCGAAATTCCAAAACAACTTACTTAGATATAGTAGATATTTTTTTTCCTAATTTTAAAGCTCTCACTTTGAAACTTCAGAAAAATACTAACTATGTTAACACTAGAGCTTACCCAACCCCACTCCCATCTCTTCCTTTCTTTTGTTGACAGGGTTTTACTATGTAGCCCTGGCCAGAAATCACTAAGTAGACCAGGCTGGTCTTGATCTCAGAGAGATCCACCTGTCTTTGATTTTCAAAATCTGAGACTAAAGGCATGCACCACCATGCCCAGCCTGCTAGCTGTTTTGGTGCTTTGTTTTGTTTTTTTCTTGTTGCTGTTTTTTTAAAATAATACATCTTTACATTTTTACATTAAGAAATTTCATCGTATATCATGATACTCACATGAATATAAACTTAGGGATAAGTCATGTTAACTTCTTTTTTGACTTCTGTGTCTGCTTGAATGACAAGAAATTAATTGAAAATATTAGGGAGGAAAGTTTTCAAATCCTTGAACCTAATGAAAATGAAAGCAGAACTTTCCAGAACCTTTGGAGGTATGGCTTAGTGAGCTCTAAAAGGAAAATTTATGACTGTAAATGTTTATATTAAAATGTCAAAATGGACATGGAGAGATGGCTTGGTTGTCAAGATCGCCTCTTGCTCTTCCAAAGGACCCAGGTTCAGTTCCCAGCACCCATGTGGTGGTTCACAATCATCTATAACTCCAGTTCCAGTATACCAATTCCCTCTTCTGACCTTTGTAGATACCAAGTATGCACATATGCACAGACATGCATACATACAGGTAAAACACATAAAATAAAATTAATAAATCTAATTTCTAAAACTGGGCTGGAAGTAAGGCTCAGCACTTACTAGGATTTGCTGCTCTTTCAGGGGATCCAGGTTTGATTTCAGCACCCATATGGAGGTTTACAGCCATCCATACCTCCAGTTCTAGGGGCTCCAAGGCCCTTTTATGGCCTTTGCAGGGAGTAAGTACACACATGCTACACATACATACATGTGGGCAAAACACTGACAGATCAAATAAAATAAATGTAATAAAATATCAAAATGCCTCAAATAACCTACAATGTGCTTAAAAGTCTTAGAAAAGTAAGACAAAGGCAAGTTCAGAAACAGCAGGTGTCAAGGTAAGGAAGGTCAGGACATATGGTTTTGTTTTATTTTGTTTTGTTTTGTTTTTCAAGACAGGGTTTCTCTGTGCAGTCCTGGCTGTCCTGGAGCTCACGCTATAGACCAGGATGGCCTCGAACTCAGAGATCCACCTGCCTTTGCCTCACAAACGCTAAGATTAAAAGCATGTACCACCACTACCCCACGTCATGGCAGATATTATTGAAACGTACATGTAAAGAATAATACATACAATCAATCAAGCACAATACAGTCAATAGATACATGAGACTGACTGATTCCTAGCTTACCTGACAGAAAGAAAAGGAAGACTCAAAATAATAACATTAGAGAGTACACCAATGAAATACACATACTTAGTAGAGAGTACTGTTGTACCCCAGAAATCTTGATAAATCTAGGAGAATTTGATAAATTATTAAGTATATATGATCTACCAGAGTTAAGTGAAGAAAACACAAACAGCTTAAACCATCCCTAACACAGGAGACTAAAGCAACAATAAAGAAAATCTCCCCGAGGAGAGAAGGACCAGATGTGTTCACTGCTCCACTCTACCAAACTTGTGTAGAAGAGCTGGCAAGAGTACTGATCAAGCTGTTCATAAAAATAAAACAAAATAAAATAAAATAAGGAACACTACCAAAGTAATTCCACTAAAGCAGTATTCTCTTGAGACACAACAAAATGAAACAAAACTTGTGGGCTGCTCTTTCTGATGAACACAGATACAAATATTCTTTTTTCTTTTTCTTTTTCTTTATTCTTCTCTCATATAATATATCCTGACCACAGCATCCCCTGCTTATACTCCTCCCAGTCCCCCACCTCCCCTTTCTTCCATATTAACTCCTTTTCTGTTTCCCTTCAGAAAAAAAAAAAAAGTCTCCCAAGGATATCAGCTGAGCTTGGCATAATGAGCTGCAATGAGGCCAGGCACACACTCTCATATCAAGGCTGGAGGAGGCAATCCAGTAGGAGGAAAAGGGTCCAAGGAGCAGGCAAAAGAGTCAAAGACACCCCCATTTCCACAGTGGGAGTCCCACAAAGACACTAACCTATACAATCACAGCATGTATTCAAAGGACCTAGCACAGACCCATGCAGACTCCTTGAATGCCACTTCAGTCTCTGTGAGCCCCTATGAGCACTGCTTAGTTGATTCTGTGGGCCAGGTTCTTTTGGTGTCGTTGACCACAGTGACTCCTACGATCCTTCCTCCCTCTCTTCCCAGTGGATACAAATATTCTCAATAAATCATATTCAAGATGTGAATCCCACAAAAAGATTTCTAACGTTGGCTCACTTTATTTTTATGTCATTAGAGAGTATTTATTATATTGTCCAGTCCTTTGTTTTCTTTCTTTTTTTTTTTTTTGGTTTTTCGAGACAGGGTTTCTCTGTGTAACTTTGCACCTTTCCTGGAACTCACTTGGTAGCCCAGGCTGGCCTCGAACTCACAGAGATCCGCCTGGCTCTGCCTCCCGAGTGCTGGGATTAAAGGCATGCACTACCACCACCTGGCTCAGTCCTTTGTTTTCTAAACATCTTAAATTATTCTACTGTCAAGGTTTTTTAATCATACACTAAGCATAAAGGGACTCTCTATCTCCTGGAAATTAAAAAAAGATGAGTTTGATTCTCTGGATAAGAAACTTAAAGATTGAACATTGATATATTTTTATATAGAAGAAATAACTTTTAGTTACTTTTGAAAATTATGAGAATTATTATTGATCCCTAACAACACTGTAGTTAAAATGTTACAATTAATCACGTCTAATAACTAACTTGATTATAGAATCCACAAGTCCCTTTTAAATGGTGCCTCCTTAATGCTCACAGCTCAAGATAACATGGGCAGAGCCCTGAGTAATTGCTTTTACAACCAAGAAAAGCAATCAACAGTTACAGTCATCTCAGGGTACTTCACTTCCGATAGCAGATTTGGAGCACAGATTACCTTGGGGGAGGGAAGGGAGGACCAGGCTGAGAAAATTGCATGTGAAGAAGAGTCTCTCTTTACTCCACTCAAATTACTTCATGCATGTCCAGAAGCCTAACTACTAACTGATTCAAAAGTCAATTAGGCTTTTTTAAAGGAGGAAAAGTAGGCCTAGTTAAGTGACAGGTGGCTGTGGTTTGGTGTGTTTTCTCCAGTATGTACAGATAGTACAGGAGCAACCAGCTTGCAACCTCAGAAAAACCACACCCTCGCTGATGTAGCTTACAGTTGCATTCATTCAAGTGGGGCCTGAGAATCTCATGAAGAAGGTTCTGAAGCCAACTTGCTCCTGCCTCCTGAGTGTATTATTTGTGCCTTTTCTCAACCAAAGACATCCAAGCAGTAACGTGAAATTAGCCATGGTGGGGATATTTATGCAGCTGAAATCAGCCTCATTCCACCTATGGTTCTTCACCCAAGTGGCACCTTAAAAGCCACCTTGACATGGACATGAGGCTTTAAGTAGAACATAGAAAACCACTCTGCTGAAAAGCAATAATTGTGTACACTGTGGGAAGAGACCAACCCTTTTCCACAAATAAACCAATGCTAAATTAGAAAATTCTGCTAACAGTCCAATTTTTTAAAGCTCTTAAGAATAAGCATTTTCCTCTGTCCTAAAACAGTGTGGAATAAGCCAGGGATTAGTGACACACATCTGGAAGAGACTCCGTGCAAAAAGGGAGTAGTCAGTACTTAAGACATTTTTCTATAATGTGGTTTTTTACATCTGGTGTTGAGACCACAACAGCTCCTCTAAATCCAGAAATTGTCAGATGAGTGATCCTTGGGGAATCAACGGGGCAGGGTGGAGGAATGACCCAAAGATCTGGTCACTCCACCCTGAGCCCAGCAAAACAGCATGAAGTCAGCTTTCTAGCTCAGTTGCCAGTGGCTGCCTCAACCCTGTGCTTCCTGCTTCTGCAGCCAGATCTGCTGCCAAGTGAACTCAACAGTGCTTTTCCTCTAGGTCAAGAATGCTCCCTCTGTCTCTGAAGTCGTCCCAACCAGGGATCAACTGTGATTGTCATTCTTTATTTCTCCACACAGTAGTCTGGTTGCTGGGTCAACCTCATAAATATATAACTGTGTTTTTAAATCAACGACACTGGCAGAAATCCTATACCCCCATTCTCATGTTCCCAGTAGGTGCTTTCTTCAAAGCAGGGTACAGAGCTGTGCTAGCAAACAGCCCAACCAGCAAGTCCATGTAAGTGCTGGGAGGGCCGCCAAGTGTGTCATGAAGTTTTCCCATAAGCATCTCGGTTTGTGGAAGAAACAAGACACCTTTGGGATGTTGCAAAGGGCATGCGAGACTGCAGACTCTCTGTGGCTGAGCTAATGAATTACCTTCTCCTATCACAGCGAGGGTGAGGCTTCTGTAGACTTTTTGTACAGCCTGCACATGAAGCAGAACCAACAAAGTGATCATCTTTAACTCCCATTTCGAAGTGCATCAGGACTGCATGCTCCAGGATCCCTAAAGAGCACAGCTCTGCTGCTCTTCTGCACTGATCCTAGCAGTCATGTTTATCTGCTCTCCTAAGTTTGTTCTTTCTTTAGTTCTGATAATTTAATTACATTTCTCCCTTCCGTTACTCACTCCAAGGCCTCCCATATA